CTTATTCTCCCTTCACTGAATTTCATGAATTTTCGTCAGCTTAGCAAAGATTCGTAAAAATTTCCGCTTGCTCAACCATACATTTGTTTATGAGAAAATCTCAAGGGCGTTGCAGTAAGTAACTAATAATAATTATAAATAAACGCAAAGCCACTGAATTGACTTCGATCTTTGGGTCATAATGAACGGTAGAATTATAGTTGATAGGATTTCGAAGCACCAGCTGTTATAGTAGCAGAGGTTACGAGGCTAACAGGACTCCTCCCACAAATTTACTGTGCTGAGCTAGCTCTGATTTTCATAATATAGAGACTCACGAAAATGTTTTCCAGAACTTTCTTGAAAATCGTAAATCAGAAAACTATTATGCTGTTTGTTTACGTGAGGAGCATTTGAGTTTCTGCATTCTGGCATATGTACATGCGTGTACACTCCCGCATGAATATGGAAGAATGCAAAACTCTAATGATCAGCGAAGGTGCCTATTACTTGCAATGAAATTTCCATCTTATAGTTCAGATCACATATCTGATTATCTGATCTGTTTGCGTCTACCCTTGGGCGATATGCGATTGACGAGTGCGCAGCGTCAGATGCCTCTTATAGTATCGAGTAAAGAGACATTTTTTTCCTAGCATAGTGCTCAAATTGAATACATTTGCCATTCTCCCTAATGCTATAACTAGCCAAAAATATGGCTAGTCAACTGTCACAACTAATTCCACGAGAGCGCCATGTAAATGTAGATACCACCCCTGACCGATGCCGTTATTGACGTTTGTCCCATAGAAACCAGCGTCTATTTCATATTTCATATTTTCCATGCCAACGAAACATGTTCACTGATTGAGAGTTCTTAAACATTTTATAGTAGGCAATAGATTTAAAGCAATATCTCAAATAGTAAATTGGCAATTTCAAATAATTTAGTGTCTCGACGTACTACTTGCCTGAGAATGACAATAGCAGCAATCAAGAATATAGTGTCGGAGCGTTAAGTTATGGCTTGAGGCATGCCAACATGAAACCCCTGCTTACGGTATATGCGAAATATTCATAATAACATAATTTTAAAAATTTTTTAGTACTAGGCTTATGAGAACCCAAATGGGAATCAGGTTAGTCTCCTTTAGAACCCGCAAAAAAAAAACGTTTTTTTTTCCAACTTTAATGGGAAAGAAGTTGGAAATTTCAAAAATTTCTCTAAAGTTTGAAAAAAAAATGTCTTTAAGTTGCATAAAAAAAGTTTTAAATAATACTTTTGTCCAACTTTTTTAGTTTAAATTAAAGATTTTTAAATATTGAAACTGGATCAGCTAGATTTTCGATCGGACACATGTATGTACATAAATATGCATATCTAAAAAAGTGTCTCTGTTTTTCTATTTCATTTCTATTTTAAGTTTCTTTTACATATATAATAAATAGCTTTCACAAACAAAATAATTGTTATAAAAAATATGAATGTGCAACGTAATTTTGCGCTGTCATAAACATGAGATATGTATGTTCACATGTATGTAAATATTATTTATTTAATAGCTATTTCATAGTTGTGTACAATATGTACAGCTAATTTGATTTGCAACTGAGCTCATAAATAAAAATGAATTGCTTACATAAACGGGTGATCCAAGTAGAGGAACTTTTTACTGTAGCCTTTTCTGAACTGATCACGTGTGAGTCGTTTCAAACCGTCATATTATTCTCGTTCAAAATTTGTTTGGCATTTCATCATAAAATACTTGCGCCTGAAAAATGTTTACAAAGCTTTCAACACTATTACGAATGTTCATGTTCTGTAAAGAATGTGTTCCGTGCGCTACCCTCAACCTATGGCCTACATAATTGGCATACTGAGAGTACTATTCGCAACACCATCACCATTTTGAGATTCAGCATTCATTATTAGATAATATTCGATCGAATAAACCAAGTCCAGCACGCAGTGAAGAAAATATAGTAGCCGTAGCTAAGAACGCACAGACCGGGGAGAGTCAATTTGGAGCCATTCGCAGAAGCTCGGACTGATGTATGGAACGACCTGGCGCATTTTCCGTCGAGATCTTAAATTGTAAGCGTACAAAATAAAACTTGTGCAAGAATTTCAGTCACCCGACATTCTCAAGCGACATCGCTTTGCTCTTTGGACAATCTTTCAACGAGATCCGATGTTTTCGAGCCTAATTTGGGTACGACAACAAGAAAATTGCCGCGATTCGGACGAAGAGCTATCTGAAGAGACTCAAAAGCTGCCATTTTATTCAGAAAAAAAAAAACAACGGTTTGGTTTAGTTTGTGGGCCGGTCGCTTCATTATAACCGACTATTTGATGCATGAAATTATAGATGGTATTCTCAGTGACGTTTGATTTCAACAATACGGCGTCACTTAACACACATCGCATAGAGATAACACTTCGGTGAGCAGATAATTTATCCGCGACCAACGTTTGGAGGAGATAATTTTCTGCAAAATAAATGCCATATAATTTATATTTTCTGGTTTTTTTTTTTAAGGGGAGCCTCGGAATAGATCACCCTTTGTACATGCATAATTATGTAAGTGTCTAAGAATTCACAATATGCTCGCGCAATTTTTTAAAGCATACGTGTATTATTCTGCATTCCCTCTGTACGTTCATCAATAATTCACAACTTATTCTGAGGAAGATGTATTCCTTCAGTTATGGTTCAGAAACTATCACATGCTTTCTGAAAAGTTGTGCAAAAAATCTGTATTTGCCTTTAACTCAACTTTTTATTTTCTCTCTCAAACAATATGTGTTCCCTACAATATTTAACGCAGTCTTTTATAGCCCCCTTACATTAAAAAATATTCGCTATACCAAAGATTTTTGAGGTAATCATTAGTGGTCAGATAACGGTTTCAATCTCACTACTATCCAATTCCCAACACTGGTTTTGTAAAGAGAATTCAACAATTATAAATTTGCTTGAATTTGTGTCACACATCTCTGAAGCCTTTAAAGATAATAAGCAAACTGACGTTATCTACATCGACTTCAGTAAAGCATTCGATGGGGTTAATCACTGCGTTTCTGCTGAAAGCAACGGCGAAGACTTTTGTGTGCATATACCTCCCCCAGTATGTGAGGGTACGGCTAAGAGGTATGCAAAAATCTAGTTCGGCTACATAATTTGTACAGAACTTATCAACGTAGTTCCAACGCATAAATTAACTGCTTTCTTTTCTTTACATATTTACAAATTATAGCGGCCGAGATAACCGGTTTCTAGGAAAATTTATTTTTTTTACAGATACCTCACGGAAAGGTCTACGGTCGTGATCGTGCGCATACGTTGGTGAGTTTTCGTTCACAAAATACCCAAATAAGTTTGATTGTGAGCGTTGACAAGGAACGTAGGCTTACGTTCGTGACTATTTCTAGCATTAGAAGAGAGCCAAATATTCAAGAAATACCTAAATATTTATTACAAGTTAAGCAATCGAAGTTTTCTTTGTGTAGATTTGTGAATTATTTTCTGAAAATAAATATTTGGTGGCCCTAATAAATTCAAAATTAATATCATGTGGGTTGACTGTTCGTCAATTCGATTGGGGTTTTGGGTTCACTACATATATTGGTCTCATTTTCACTGCAGTTAAGCAGGCTACAGAAGTAAATATATATTGATAGTCAGTCACCAGATCCTCTTTCTCTCCATTTCTTACTTCAATACATTATTTAAAAATGTTATATACAAGCGCAACCGTGAAGTTCACAACATTGTATACACAATACGATTAAAAACTCTGCCTAAAATTGTGCATGGTAGTGATGAAAACCAAGGTCACTTCGTTTATATTCACCAATTTTTATCAACTTTCCGCAGGAAGTAAAACACATACAACTACAAATAAAAGTCTGTGTGATTTTAAGCTCGCACTCTGCGCATTCAACCAAATATGTATGTGCATGCAACACATTACCAACCAAACCAATTTTACTCAGTTGTGTACACACATACATTACATGTAACACAGTATATGCGTGGAATAGGCGCCGTAACCTATTTCGTGCGGCTCAAATGACCCTTGCAATCAAAATGTTTTGTTCGAAAAAAATTTACTGCGTAAACAATGAGCATAGAAAGTTAGAAAGTTAGTTTGTGTAGCGCAAACGTCAAAACCAATCGCATACATAACATACACACATCTACATATGTATGTGTACAATTATGTATATGTGTTTATGGTAAATATGTGCAAAACTTTTTCTAATATTTCTAATATTTAACATATTAATCATAATTAATGAAAATTATGTTAAAAACCATTAAAATTATATGAAAAATATTTAGTGCTTTTGCAATCACCTTAAATCATTGTACTAATTTTTTTCCTGTGAAATATTAAAATGAAAAGGCCTCAGTTGCTAATCTACGTTATCTATAATTTTTTTAATTCTCATGAAACACATACACACTAACGAAATATTTATCATTTAAATTTAAATAAATTTTTTGTTGCCAATAAATATATAACATAACAACGAAACGAGTAAAAATCGTATTGTGTACATCCATCTTCTTTTTCGGGCTAATAACAGGCTGATCCAATTGTTAACTACCTATTGGATTGCTTTAATGGACCATATGGCCCACAAACTTCAGTAGGGTTATGTAGTAATTTGCTGATGCGGGTGTATTGTACATTGAGACCAGACTTTTGAAAACAAAAAAAGGCACTCTGGCCAAATCCAGTAAATACGGTGGATGAGCAATGGAATTGAATGTGCTTTTGGTCGTAACATCATTCACAACTACAGTTTTCGGAAATCTTTGGCCCACAACACCATGTAAATATGTTTGCGGACACAATTTTGTTCAAAAACCAAACAAATAATAACTACCGTCGTTCAAATCCTGGTTGCTTATTAGAATGGCACAGATTTTTCGAAGCCGACAAATTTTTGTTACCAACAAAGCTATACAATTTTTGCAGATTTTCTAAAGAGGTCTTACTTTTTTGCACAATAGACCGGTTTGTGATTATATTTTAGATTGATTGAACTCATTAGCAAAAGAACATATTTAATGAACTTAAACTATACTATGTACATACGAGAACATATATCGTATTTGGGCTGACTTTAGTTTGGAGCTTTTGCTTCCTGGGACATTTGTTGGCATAAGTAATTTTACATATACCGAAAAATAAAATTTTTTTCGCTTAAAATCACCGTTCAAGGCGAAGCTGGTGATGATCCGGTCCAGGGGTTTTTTAAAGCGCGGCCAAATGAAATAACTGAAATAAAAGTTATATAGCATCTACATATGATTACATTAATAAGTACCATTACTGTACTATGTAGATTATCGAGCCTTATGCGACGTGTTCCTTATTCAGTAGCATTAGCCCCTCCGCTGACCTGACATTTTCATGACAAACCTCCAAACGTAAATCATCTTGCCCGTCTTCAATTATCTCCAAAACTCAGCGCCCTTCAGACTTTAGACCTAAAAAAAGGAATTAAAGAAGAATATTTACAAATACTATAACGTATCTTCTTTATATCCTGAAAATTATTTTTAACTTATGCATTATTATTTTTTATTTACCGAATCAGCTTTCATCAATCTGCTAAATTTTTCCGGGCCTACCAATCTTCCCCAACGTATCAGTTGGTTATCGTACCAGAATACAAAGTTGACTACCCACCGTAGTCGTCTATCACTGTACCCTATCGTGGAAGAATTTGTGGGTGTAGTATTATTGGTATTGTCAATCCAATTTCCAGTTTCCCTGGACATTTGGGGCTTATTTTGGCTGAAAGACCGGACCGGGCTGTACGGTAAATGGATTGCGCTGTAGAGAGGCGATTAATGATTTTTTATGGCCGGAATTGGATAGTAATGATCTGGTCAACGTTTTCTTTTATCAAGATGACGTCACACAAGCAATGAAACCGCCGATCTTATACGAGAAAAGCTTCCAGACCGTGTCATCTCTCAAATAGATGACCGCAATAGGCCACCGAGATCTTGTTATTTAGCTTCTTGCGACTTTTTCCTTTGGGGCCATGTGGAAGATAAAGTCAATAGGCAAAAGGCCATTTGGTGATGGCAAATTTCACACCTGTACAATGTATATATTGATAGCTTAGGACGTGAATAATTAGCGTGTAGACGGTAAACCAAATGAACATGAACCGTTGTAGTTCCAATAAGATTGCATTTTTATGATAAATAAAATATTTAATTGACGGTTCTCTGTAGCCGCTGATGCGATTTTCGGCCGAGCTCCTCTCTAATTTGTGGATTTGCGTCTCGAGATTTTCTCAACAAATGGAGGAACCCACAGTTTATTCTAAGTCGGCAGATGGATTTTTATGACGACTTTTTTGTTACTTACACTCTAATGGCTGGACATACCCTGCCATTGTGGGAGCTTTATGTTTTAGTCGTCCAATTTAGATTATTTTCAGTACCAATATATAATTAATTATGTTTGCTAAGTACCAAATTTAAAATTTAGTTGAAATATCTCAAAACTGAAATTTTAGTTTGCGTACAACCAGACATCCACGTCCGTCATTCTGGCCCGACGGAAAAATTTTAATAGCTCTATATCTGCCCCTCCGAACGTTCGGACAAAAGTTTTCATGTACACGAAAAGTGTAGAAATTGTTTTTCTTTATTTTTCGATATTGATATGGCTAAAGCTCGAACGCAAGACCCTACGCTTAATGGAATGAACTGCTGCCGAATCGGTTAATGCGGCCGCCGCACATAGTCTATGTACGATAATTTAAAGAATAGAAGTGGTCTTAATAGTAAAGAAAATGAAATGGAAAATAAGAAATGGAATCACCAATTAAAAGTTTTTAAATTGAAATAACTTCTTTTTCCTTTCACTTTCATGAAACATGGCGGGCGATATCAAATAATTTTAGTATTCATACAAATCTTTAATTATGACCAGTTGTGTGGCTCTTGTAATATAATATATATATGATGCAAACTTTTTGTTAAATTATTAAATCTCTCCCACCACTTTCTTTATCATCCTACCATCACCATATCCGTCATCCAGTTCTGTAACTGCAAGAAAGAGGAATCTATTATCCTTATAAGCAAGTATTTAGTTTTTTGTACTAATAGTGCCGCTAACTACCGCAATGTTTGGCTTCTATCTATTTTTATTTAGAAATATTAAGCTGACAATATTATTGAAAATAGCTCATCTACCTTCACAAACTCCCATTGCCGCTGTCTGTCACCCGCAAATTTTGATCTGATTAACTACGCAATAAATCAAAATTAGCGTTGCCGTTTGTCAAGGATATTGGCCCCAATTTAAAATAATTGAAAGTGTGAGACAACTTAAGAAAGTTTTTCTAGGAAGGTAAATAGTATTTAACTAACTAATTCCTGACAGCCTATGACTACTTACAAAATAATTTCTCTCTTCATAGGCTCATATACATATTTATGTTTATGCATACACATGTATATACAATTATGTATGCATATAGTACGTTTGCCTAAAAACGGTGCTTAATTGTAAATAAATATTTATTAGCTCACAAATTAAAATCAACAATCCCTGCAATAAGCGATGATTAACTAGCTGATATCGGATTTTATTTCAGCATTACTCAATGTTTGTGTTAAAATTTATTTATTTTGCCAAATTGAGAATTAATCAGATGTAAAATAGGTTTTACTATTTTGCTTTAATTAAGTGAAATGTTAGTAAATTTTGTTAATTGATAAATATTTGGGTATGAAATTTCACACAGACGAACTTTCATACTAGTTATGTTTGCAGAAATACAAATATGGAGAGTGTTGCTTTCAGAAATGCTCAACAAGCACAACAATATTATTTCGCTTCACACAAAACTCATCGTTAACGTTAAGTTTGACACGGTTGAAAAGCTATATTAACTTCACGCTTCAATTTTAACGAAAAGAAATTTTAATAACTGCTCTAACGTTAATAGTTCCAAATGTTTCAACCGAAATTATAGAAATATTTTGATTAACGTCAAATTTATTGTTACGGTGCAGCCTTGGTGTAGACATATTGAGAAAAGAACGCTAAATGATCAATTGACAATATTCAAATCTATAATTATTTCAAATGCAAATCTACATAATTATATCCGAAGGCATAAAAAAGAGTCTTCAAAAACGCCAAAATTTTGATAACAATTTTCCTAAATATAATAATACTGGAGTCTTACACTTGCTAAAGCTTAAATGTTACTTTTTGATAACACACTCTCATGTATAAAAAAATTTCGGTGCTTGCAGAAATATGAACATCTCGTGCAGAGTTTTTTCTTGCTCTTGTAAAAGAAGAAAGTTCCGAGAAGTTAAAGGCAAAGCTCTAGAGAGATTTATTTGTTCCTTTGAACTATTCCAGATTTTGGTATATTTTGAATTGTAGTGTATTTACATATTCATCGCGCATTATTAAAAAAAATCCTTCCCAACTCTTGTTGAGCACCTGCGTTTAACCAACTTATGTGTATACATACATACTTTGAATCTTTATATACAAAAGTACGTACGTATGCATAACTATGAATTCGTTATCTACTTATGTTTTCCCTTTTGTATTTATATATAATTACTAGCTGAACACTGCAAAGCTTCGCTGTCGCACATACCTATTAAATGTATTAAATGTTAATCATGGGATATCTTTTTATAATAAATTTAAATACTTAATACTTGTGGGAATGCAATATTTGGTTTCATCATTGACATTGGTACACTTCTTGAATAGAAGAATAGTCCGACATTTTGAATTAGCCAGTCCCCGATCCACGAATATCAAGTAAATGGAACCATAAAATGGAGTTTCTTAATACGTCAGTCGCTGGTACACTTTCCGAAGAGATGTGTTATCTTCCTTTTAATCTAAGCAAATTGTAAGTATATCAAGCCATAACTAAGGTTTTTGAATAGGTCAGTCCCGAAAAAAAATTATTAATGGATTTCAAACATGCATCGCTTTGTCGAAGGCGGTTAACTTCCGAACATTGTGTTTTCTGACGAGAAAATTTTTACAGTTGAGCAATCCGTAAACTCTCAAAACAATATTATTTACTTGGCCAACAAGAATTTAAATCCTCGATTGGCTGGCAGTAGGCAGCACCCAAACAAACAATGGTTTAGGTCGCCGTAACCATTGGTAAATGCGCAATATTATCGAAGAAGTATTTTAGAGGCTGCTTTGAAGCCGGGGCAGACAAATATTTGGATGGCAGGCTATGGACGATTCAAAAGGACTCATAACATTCCAAGCTTCACGTCCACACAATGGATCTCGAATTCACCAGACACTACTTCGATGAATAAATCACCAATCTCGAGGCGCTGAAGAAAGCCGTTTTCCACGAGTGGACAGACAGCTTGCAATTCGTTTTTGGACCGTCTCAAGGCCATAGTTAAGGCAAAAGATATTTATATCGAACAAATATAAGGCTTTAAGAATTCCTTAAGACTTTTGTATTATTTTCACACATTTTGAATGTTAGATAGATTAAAAGCAAATTTCCAAACTGAATTTAAGGCCTTTTTAATAAGTTAGATTTGGAGTGAAGGAGCTTGTAATATTATATAAAAAAAAAATTTAATGTAGCGAATGCAATTTGAAGAAATGAAAACGAATGCTGTTAGGCAGTAAAATGCATATTTAGTGTTGTAGGAGTTCGTTTCGCAACGCAAGTCAAGACAATAAACTTCATTAAGTTCACCTAACAAACAAGCAAATGGTCTGTTTCCATAGATTCTTACCGTTGGGAGAATGGGAATAGATGAATTGGTTAAATGCGAATAAGTAGTTCAGATTGACTGATAAATATTGAACTTGCGTTTATTGCCACATTGTGAAATTCATATTCTGAAGAAAAGACTGAAAATTTACACCGTTGGAACAAGCTCAGCTCATCTGGTAACTCTAACAGAACACGTCTTTGGTTTCATCATCAGTAGCGACCGCTCGTGGCGACACGAAAAATTGTAAAGGGCATTGATTTTAGTTTAATGGGCAAACCGTTTTATTCATTTTTGAAGGGTGCCGCATGGATGCAAATAAAAGTTTTTTGCAGTTTTTAAATTGAGGTTGTAAGACATTTCGAACTTCCGCACTCGGCTCATCTTTCGAATACAGAAGTAAGAAAAAATATTTCAGCCAAGCAAGGAAACAATGATGATTTGGTGTTAAAACAACCTCTCAAAGGGGTTGAGCGAGTAGGTTGCTTACTGCATATCTTTTTCATCTCTTTATTTTTCAAGTAAATGAATAATTTCTAAGCCCACCGAGGCTGTTAGTTTAGGTTGTTAGGAAGTTATTGAAATAAACAATCTCAATTGTTTTGCTATCACCTGTTTATAATGTTTATCGTCATCCCTATGGAGCTTCGATTTTGGCTGTCAATTAAAATTAAGTTCACGGAAGTGAAGAACGAACTGAAGATACCAGTCAAATTCACGTGCACATTCATTAGTATGAATGTGTGTCTGCATGTTCAGGGAGAAGATAAATCTTTGCTCCGCTTACTATGTTGTCATAACAAATCCTTTGAAATATTATGGGAAGTAAAGATACATATTAACATAAACGATGATCACCCGTT